CCGAGTGAAGCCTGGACTGTGGGTGGTCCCGGTGGCCCCGCGAGGGGCAGTAGGAGCAGAGGCTGTGAGCAGGACAGCAGGCTGGAGTTCCCGAAGAGATCCTGCTGGGCCTGGGAGAGGGGCAGGGGGCTCCAGGGCCCTGACACCGAGACCCGGGCTTGGAGAGAGAGGGGAGAGGGGTGGCCGAAGACTGGGGGAGACAGGAGACAGACGACAGCGTGAGATCGTGATCTGTCATTCAGCAAACACCTGCGAGTCAGGGTCCGCGCCCACAGTCTCGGTTCAGACCCGACAGCCCCGGTTCGTTATCAAATACTGGCTTTACGATTCAGGAAAAGCTAACCCTGGAACTGGTCTGTGGAAACCGTTAGCACCTCTAGGGCATTAACCCAGGTTAATCCCCCAGTCACCCCGCTGAACAGTTTCAGACAAACGATAGTGGTACGTATGTAGATACATATCTGAGAATGAACACCGTTCAAGTCAACAAAAGCAGTTGTTGAAGGCTTAAAATACATCGCATACATCTGTGTCAATGGCTAAATGTCTCTGTGCCACGCTGATGTCAATCTAATAAGCATGAAACAGCTCTCTGTGACGTCTAGGATGAACTATGTGCAGAGTCAGAGACAGCTCTGCCTCCTGTAACGTTTCAATTGGATAAAGAGCTAATTCATGTTCGACACATCCCTCATAGACAGGTAACAGTGCTCAAACAACGTTGTCAATACCTATTGCGTCAAGGCCCTGCAGTGATTGTGGCTGCTGTGTTTGAGTATGGTGTACTACTTATTGTCAAGCCTACACTTTTTAATACAGTTACAATCTGAATAGAGTTCTTCTGATAATACTCTCTGTAACTTCTCTTCTACTCCTGTTGCTAGTATCACTGAAACTATTACTGATACTGCTGCTAGTATCACTACTGATACTGCTACTACTACTTATACTGCTGCTAGTATCACTACTGCTACTGCTACTGCTGCTAGTATCACTACTGCTACTATACTAATACTGCTGCTTGTATCACTACTGCTACTGATACTGCTGCTAGTATCACTACTGCTACT